GTGGTCACGCGGGCGCCTCTGCCAGTCAGCCTCAGCGTGCGCCCCGTGCGCGCGCGCGCGCCCCCGATCGGCCACACGCCAGGGTGACGCTGTGTGGTGCGCGGCCTGCCGCCCACTGGGTGCGGTGAGACAGCAGCGGCCTGCTCGCCTCGAACTTGGCCCCCCGCGCGCCCCGTGGACGCCGCGCACCCAAAGGGTCACCCCAGCGAAGGGTCGCTCTGACGTGCAGCCACCAAGGCCACGCTGACGCGATGTGGCTCAGCGGTGATGCTGGGAACCAACCTGTAGGACATCACGAGCCACACTTTCCCACATATCCTGTGTGCGAAGGTGTCGAACGAAAGCGACACAGCGAAGTGTAGGAAAACACGAACCACGCGTTCCCATGATATCGAAACCGTCATCGCCATTACCTACATCGCCGTTAGCGTGTCTACGGAGCCGGCTTGAGTCCAGTTCTGTTGTGCTGCTGGGCTCGAGGCTCTGGAGAGCTTGGGTTCGGCTCCATGCTCGCTGGGGTCTCAGCCCATGGTCTGCAGCTCGATCGTCTCCTGCAGGACGTGGAGCGTCAGTGGGACCACACAAGCTCACAATCACGAACACGAGCATACGCACCCATAAACACGCCAGATACACACACGCACACTCAAACGCACACGCGCACACGCACAGACACACGTGCAGCCACACACACAGTACACAAATTACAAGCACACGCATAAACAAACACATACCCACAAGTCACATACAAATATAACAAGTCACACACACGAGAGACACTTGACACATCATATCATTGCTGTTGTGCGAACGATTATCAAAACGACACAAGATTCGAACTTTAGGGATTCGGGGATTGTATGACAAGGCCGTCGGGAATAAATGACGGGACTTGATGTTAAACTGGACACGGTATCCCGCTAGAAACATTTCACAAAGATGGGAGGGGCAAGCCTCACGCCGAAACGTCCAAACAACGGCGGCTTGGCTCATGTCTTCGCGGTTCGCTCTGGTAGGAGTGGGGGGCAACTTGGTTAGCGTCCGCTTCAATCCCAATTGCTTCCTTCACATCTTACCCATTCTTTAGTATGCTTGTTTTTCGTTGCGGGCGCTCGGAAATCAACTGTGTCGTCTGCGCCGGCCACGGAACCCAACCCGCACGCCCAACACTCCCGTCACGGAAAAGCCCCGCAACGACGTGCTCCGACCTCTGCGGCCTCGGCACGGGGACCCGCCGCCCAACCTGCAAGAGCGTCCGGACACACTCGAAGGTGGAACGCTCTCGAAGAGGGCCCTCGAGCAGCCTCGCACGGGGAACAGCCCTCCGCAGAGCCAGCGACCTGTGGAACAGGAGACTCCTGCTGCAGCTGGGGATCCTGGCATAATGCAACATCAGCGCCAACCATGTCTGTAGGACGCCGGCAACGACAACACACATGGAGTCGATCCACCTATGACTGTGCAGATGTTCCAGCACATTCTTCACGGAACGGACAATTGGTGCCTCTCAAGGGCGACACTCCAGCCATCAAACAATACGGAGTGTCGCATGAAGACCTTGCCAACTCGGTTTGACCCCTGAAACAATACTTTGAATCTCTCACGGCCCGCGTTGCGGCACTTGAATGGGGACCTTCCCAACTGACCTCTGGATCTGGGTCTGATGGTACCGTGGGCACGGTGACTCAGCAGAAATTGGACGAACTGGAATACGAAATTCAACAGCTCAAGCATCAACATATTCTGCGACCGTATACGTCTGCGTCCCCGGCTGACTGTGAGGAACGGGCATGCACGCTCTGGAGCGTGTGGGGGGGACCGCCGACGCGCTCATGCTGGTCCAGCGCATGATCGCCGCAACTTCATTGAACAGTATCGGTGGTTTTGTTTTACTCCTTGTTGAGTGGGCGAAAACTATCGATCGTGTGAATGCGGAATGTTTATGCGATGCCTTATAATTTCATGGTCTACCTACCACCACCGATCGAAGCTATGGTCGGAGGCATACGTGCATACACACACATATATATATATATACGCACGTATATATACACATATGTATTCGCATAGTTAGTTCACAAGTGCCGGCCTTTGTGGTAAGTCTTCTGAACGTCAGCAAGCTGCTGGTATTGCGCTAGGTTGTCGTCTTTTGCCATGATTGTTTATTATTGTCCAAACGGTGATGCTGGCTGACGTGTTTTCTAATCTCGAACTTCACCAATAACCTGACTATTTGCACCCGGGATTTTCTGTGCGCAGACGGCACAACGCTGGTATCGCAATATGTGGAGAAACCGCAAGAACTGTTGGGCGCTATATAACGTCGGAAAGTCAAACTACGATTTGGAATTAAGCTGGGAAACGACTGACGAGCTTCGAGTCTCTCCTAAAATCAAACTGACAAGGCTGGGCGGATAACAACACAACATACTTACAGAAGCCGTAGACTTGGGAGCATTGACTACGCAAAACGGTTGAGTGGAATATGAATTGACTAGGCGCCTGGATGAGAGCAGATCTATGTTTCAACAGCTTTGTATTATATGGGCGCGTTCTTCAATTAGTAAACGACGGCAGCGGTTGATATACACATCTTGCATTCTCAGCGTGGCTCTTAGAACAACGAAGACATGCAGACCTGATGCTTTCCACAAGAGGTACTCGCGGAACATCACTGGGATAGTGCCGCCTTGCTTTCCGAGAATATCTCCTGTCGCTGTGCTGGAGAAGGCGGGCTCCAAGCCTCTGTCCCCAATTCTGAATGGCCAACTTTATTTGAGCAGGGACCGACCGTCCCGGCATTCCGTTAGTCCTACCACGAAGTGTTCACAGAACCCACAAATGTTCTAATAACAAAAGCAATGCTCTTAGAACATAAACCCGATGTGTTACAATTATCCCAGAGCGACCCTACCTAGGAATTGGATCCCCGAGGAAAGCATAGCATAGCGCAGCTGCGCTATGCTGCGCTATGCTGCGCCATGCTATGCTAGGCTATGCTAGGGTATGCTAGGCTGCGCTATATTATGCTAGGCTATGCTATGCTATGCTGCGCTGTGCTATGCTATGCTAGGCTGCGCTATGCTATGCTATGCTATGATATGCTGCGCTATACTATGCTATGCTAGGCTATGATATGATATGATGTGCTGCGCTATGATATGATATGTTATGCTATGATGTGCTGCGCTATGCTATGATATGTCATGTTATGCTGCGCTATGCTATACAATGCTATGATTTGCTCTGCGATGCTGCGCTATGCGATGCTATGCTATGCTATGCTATGCTGCGCTGTGATATGTTAAGCTAAGCTAAGCTATGCTGCGCTATGCTATGCTATGCCATGATATGCTGCGCTATGCTATGCTATGCTATGCTATGCTATGCTATGCACTGCAATGCTAATGCTGCGCTAAGCTAATATATGCTAAGCTAAGCTACAGCTGCGCGACGCTAATATGAAGCTAAGCAAAGCTAAGTTAAGCTAGGCTAAGATGAGATAAGCAAAGCTAAGCTAAGGGGGCGCAACTGGGGGAACCGCGGGGCGGATGCCGGGGGAACCGCCCAGGGCGCTTTCCACTGCCCGGCCCCTTTAAGCTAAGAGAGTAAGAACCCTTCTAGGCAGAGCCTAGGTAGGGAATAAGACAATCTCAACCAGAAATGTTCTAAGAACATTTCGTGGAAACCATAAATAAAAGGTTCTTAGAACATTGTTTGGTAGGGCTATAGGCGAGCCAGGACGCTTCGCCATTGCTTGATTTATAGAAAGCTTGCCTCGCGGGCCGACGCTTCACTGGTTCAGCAACTGGTGTGCGGTGCCAGCGGCGGCCTCAGATATATCTATTGGGCTCCGGAGCGCAGAGGCCGAGGTCGTCCGAGACAGGTGGACGCCATGTGTGTATCATAGAGCGCCCGGGTGTAGCTGCAGCCAGCCCGTATCAGAAGGATGCGCGGTAAGGATGCAGGGGCCGTGGCGGCCTATGTTAACGTTTTTCGAGCGAGGTTGGCCGGCGAAGGTCGCTAAGGATGGGCCGAAGGGGCAAGGATGCAGGGGTGCCCTTGGCAAGGTTGCCAATCGCTTCTCTGCGGGTTAACTGTGACGGGTCTTCCATCTGCCCCCTTTCCGTTTCCCGTCCCCTTCCCCTCCTCCTGTCTCTCCCTCCCATGGCCTGCCCGGGTCTGCAGTCCAGCCGCCTGTCTTTGCTCTCACTTCTGGCTGCCACACGTGCAAGCTTGCCCACGCGTCTGCTTGACGCAAGGCTTCAGTCAGTCAGTCAGTCAGTCAGTCGAGCCATGCTCGCGACACAGAAAGAGCGTGGGCTCTCAATCGATGGAGGGCACCGCGATGGAGGAGCCGGGCAAATCGCTCGAGGGAGCGAGGCCACGCCCAAAGAGAAGGACGGCCAAACTGGGTGTGCACTCAGAGGAGACCAAGTTCACAAGCAGCGAAAACGCACGCGGCAGCCGAGAGAACCAGCATACACCGATACCACCACTCCGAGGAGGAGGAGGAGGAGGAGGAGGAGGAGGAGGAGGGAGGAGGAAGAAGGAGGGGGAGGACAAGGGGGAGGAGGGTGAGGAGGAGGAGGAGGAGGAGGAGGAGGAGGAGGAGGAGGGGGAGGAGGAGGGAGGAGGAGGAGGAGGAGGAGGAGGAGGAGGAGGTGAGGAGGAGGAGGAGGAGACGGAGGAGGAGGAGGAGGAGGAGGAGGACCTCTCCTGGGCACTTTCTGACCAGACCTACGCAGAGAATCCAGCCGTGGAGAGAGAGGGCTCTCCAGGACGAGCAGCGGCATCGGTACCTCTCCTCTGAGCGAAGACGCGCGCGGCAGCCCCTCTTTCGTGGGGGCACAGCAGTGTGCCGCTACTCCCAGAACTCTTCAGGGGTGCGTTCTGACCAGAATTTCGAAGCCAATCCAGCCGTTGCGACGAGGGTCTCACAGGAGGCACAGAACGGCGAAACCGACAGAAGGGTAGAGGTATTGGCACATCCTCCTCTTCGGCTTGCGACTCTTTTCGGAAGGCCGAGCTGCCAAGCGGCTCCTTTGGCGCGCGAATTCTCGACACGAGAGAGCCTGGCGGAGCTGCGAGAGGTGTGGCCCCGCCAGCTCTCTGCAACGGCAGCGCGGGCCGGCGCGAGGAGGCCCCTGGTCCGACCGAGTGAGGCCCCCTCGGGGAGACGCAAGACTCAAGTTTGAAGGACTCGAATACGCGAACAGACAATGACATAACCATACAAACTCGGCGGTTCGCGCGGCTTTCTTGGATCGGCGCTGGACCCCCCTGGCGGCGCCCCCGGCGCCGCCCCAGGCACGCTTCGCGCGCCAGGGAGGGGGTCCAACGCCGATCCGAGAAATCCGCGCGGACCCCCGAGTTTTCATGTTTGTGCCTTTTTTTGGTTCCCCTAGAAAAAATGGCGGGGCCCTGGTCAGGGAATGACGCGACCTCCCCCCGTAGAAAAGCATCCCGCGAAGACTGGACGGTCAACCTTCCCGCCAGGGCAGTCATGTTCAGCGGCGGCAGACCCAAGCTCCCGAAATCCCGAGTCTTACATGTCCCCGATGCTCCTGCGCTCCCGACGCGTGCGCGCGCGCGCTGCAGGGGGGGCGGGGGTCCCTTGCGAAGGAGGCGGCCTCCTGCGACGCCCAGACCTCTCCGGCGTCGTGCTTCTGCCCGCAGCGCGGGCCCCAGGGGAGGTCCAGAGCTGGCCATCGCTCGGACGTCCATTTCCTGTGTTTTTTTCGGTTTCGTGCGTGGTTTTCTTGCGAAATGATTAAGGATGTGCTCCTCGATGGCCCTCGCCGAAGGAAAAATGCACACGTCCGAGCGATGCCAAGAGAGCCCTCCCCTGGGGCCCCCTGCCCCTCCCCGGCCGCTCCTCGGCGGCCCTGGGGCCCCGGCCAGAGCCCCAGGGGGGACTCCTCTTTTTCTTCTTCCTCCCTCTCCTCCCCCTCCTCCTCCTCTCTCCTCCTCCTCCTCCTCCTCCCAACTCCTCCTCCTCCTCCTCCTCCTCCTCCTCCTTCTCGTCCTCCACGCCCCGAGAGCACTCACGCAGCTGGCCTCCCGTCGCGCTTTTTGTGCCCACGGCGCGGCGAGGCCCGGGGGGCGCCCCCCGCCCTCTGGAGAGAGCCGGCGGCGGCGCTAGAGGGGCGCACAGCCCAGGGGCGGGCACGGCACGCATTCGCCCCGGAGCCTTCTCGAAGGCACATATAATCCTCGGCGCACCTGACTAGTTACTCCAGATGTCGTAATAAAAGGGAGGGGGTCTGGACCCTCCAGGACAAGCCATTTCAGACCCCCCCTCGTGGGGGAACCCTCCAAAACGTCGTCCCCAGACCCCCCCAGGCCCTCCAAGATAGCCTGGAAGAGACCCCCCCCGAAATGAGACCCCCCTCCCTGTATTACGAAATCTGGAGTACATGTCTGGCTCTCCCCTGGGCTATTCGCCCCCCTCGTCGCCCCCGAGAGGGGGCGGGGCGCGCGTGCCGCCCAGCCGAGGTCCGCGCGTTCGGGGGCGACGCGATCTGCGGGCACGAGGCCGCTGGCCTGGCCCTCCCCGGGGCCACGGAGCGGTGTGTACGCCCCCCCACCCGCCTGCGCGGGCCAGGACGACGCATGCGCCGCTCCTGGGCCCCAGGGCGGGCCCGGCCAGCCAGTGGCCGTAGAGATGCACAGATCTCCTCGCCCAACGTAAACCACCATCACCATCACCATCAC